AATTAAATAAAATAAATCTAATAATAATAAAAAAAAATGTAAAGTCCCCCGCCCCCGCGCGTCGCCACGTAAACACGAGTCAGGTGCGCCTACGTATGAAAACGACGAACGCGCTACACATGTTGGGTATCGCCACGCACGTCGGAGTGAGAGCAATAATTCTAGGGACAGTATTTTGGGGTATCTCTAAATTGATGACCTGTGGGGGCTTTTAAAGCGTCTTCTATGGACTTTTTGGGGTACTGGGGTTTTTCGCCGTTTTACGGATGCACGCAATTTGTAACCTGGGCATGATGGGTATCGTTTTGCTTGTTGTAACCTCATCTTTTATATTTCATTAAAAAATGGGTATTTTGTTGTGTCTTGGGGCATTTAATTAAATTTTTCACTAAATATTAGGGTTTAATAAGGAGTTGCGCTAATATTGCGCAACATAAAAATTTGCAACTACCACCATTTTATTCTATAGGGTCTTGGCATTCAGAAAATATATAATGTTGGGGGGTTTTAAGTAACTTTGAGGCCTAAAATGTGGAATATAACATGGGTACAAAAAATGAAAAAAAGGCCTCAGTCATGAAGGGGATAAACATACGTGTTTGGCCCTCTGTGGCTATGTGAACGAGCTATAAAGGACAAAGTGCATTTTTCCCGTTTGCCCTTTCACACTGACTTAAGAAACCATCCTTCCTCTCAACAGATGCATACTTAGCTTGATCTGGCAGCCATGGCCTCTGGAGATTGTTTACATCCAGCACCGCAACTCTCATTATCGTGACTGTGCAAATGACAGCCCAATAGACTTCTAAGGAGCTGTGTTCCAAGGCTGGAGATGAAGGGAGATGGCTCCATAGAAGTCTATGGGACTGTAATGACCAGGTGCAGACAGGATATAAACAAAGTCTGGAATCCATGGCTGCTGGATTCAGGTTAGCATGCATCGGTGGATGGTGGAGGGGGCAGTCTGGCTTCAGTTAGGCCAGGACAAGTGGGACAAGTAGCATAAGCGCATTTTCTCTTAAAGTGCACTGATCCTTCAAACAGTATACAATAAATTGAAGCTAGCAAATGATCCATCCAGTGTTGGCCAAGTAAACAGGCATGTGGAATATGGTGTGGAAACATCTGCTGGCTGCAGTGGTCTGTGCTCATGAAAGGGACAGTCAGTGCTGTTCTCTACATTCGATCCCTACAACTCAATACTTCTCCCATCAAACAGGAGGCATGTGCAGGTGTCAGAAGTTCTAGTCACGTGTGTTAGTGTTTACAATGACAACACTTCAGTTCAGCCATTATCCTCGCACTACGAAGAGGACTCACGTTTATACTCGGCCATCAGCCGCTTCAACGCCGTCCCCGCCATCACCGAGCTCTAGATGCCTCCGCTGTTTATTTACGGAAATGAGCAATCCCGCTTCCGGGACACGTCACTGGCACGGAGAAGGTCGACGCATGCGCAGAACGCTCAGTCCTACAGATCAGCGTCAGGCGGCGGCGGCCAAGCGGGATGTGCGTGCGCATGCGTCGATCACCGACACGCGGCTCAGTGTGCTTCTCCGCAGAATAGAATTGACTGTATCTTGGTGCGGTATCAGCGGTATCTTGGTGCTTCCCGGTGGAAGTAATCATAGTTATTGAACAGAAATAAACTGTAAATGAGACACCCGAATATAAATTAAATTGTATTTTATTTGAGAGAATTGAGGCACCTTGGAGGAGCCATGAGGGAAGAGGTCAGAGCACAATGTCCATACTGTTATTTAGCGTATCTTCTGTAAATGCAGAAGAGAAGCCATTGTCCCCAGGTCACATGATACCACCTTCGTACTGGACAGCTCATGCCACCTATAGCCCGGGGATCAGCTGGACAATAATGGCGCCCATACACTCCTCTCCCTACATAGTGCGTCACTGCATGTCACGTGACCGCGCGCTCTTCTGCGTCCTTATGATCACATTCCTGTATTTTTCTTCTGTAACACATATAGTTAATATAACCACGCGAGGAATTCTCCCTTCTTTTGTCCCATCCCCCCTCACCACAAGGGGAGCTCCCATCCCCCCCTCCGCTTCATATTACACAAGAGCAGTTTCCTGTACCCCTCCCCCACCCACTCTCCGAGCGCGCTCCCGCTGCAAGAAAGAGCGGGGTGGGACCTAGGATTTGCGCAAAACCGCGCGCAAGGGGAGGGATTCCCGTATGTGCACGCGCCTCGTGCACGCGCTGTGCACCACGTGACTTGGCATCGCCAATTGCGGTGCGTTATAATGTGGGGGTGACGCGCGCGCACGAGATAAGCGAGCGAGCGAGTGAAAAAGCCACCGGAGAGAAAAAGAGCGGGAGAGACGGCACCATGTCTGAGGAGAAGCCCAAGGTGAGGCCGCGGCGGGAGGGGGCCCACGAATGGGTAGTAATGAGCCATGGGTCGGGAGTGTGGGAGTCATTGGACCTGTGTGTGGCGAGGGGAGAGTGAGGTGCCGATACCAGGCCATTGGTCGCTGCGGCCTGGTCGGCATTCACAGCAGGTTACTGACGAAGGACGGCTCTATAGGGTGCTCAGACGGCTGCTGGTGGAAATAACGGAGGTCCAGGCCGGGAGAAAATGGGGAGGAACCGGCTGGAGGAGAGGGAGGGTCGGGGGGGAGAAGGGGAGGCCCGAGTGTGTGATTCATAGCCATGTTTTCTGTGTCCCGGGAGACTGCGCGCCAAAGCCGGCTTCACTCCACGTGTGACCGAGAGCCGCTCGACCGACCTACCGCCTCTCCATGGTAGCCGCACCTGGCATAGGGGAGGGCGCAGGATGGTATAGACAGGCATGATTGCACCGGGGCAAGCTCACAGGCATGATTGCACCGGGGGAAGCTCACAGGCATGATTGCACCGGGGGAAACTGGGACTAAACATTCTTCTATTTGGGTAGATAGGACTTCAGTCTGAATGTGAGCCATCTGTACAGTTTCCCTCCTATGCAGATTGGTGTGTTTGTGTGCATATTTGTGATCTTGGGTCGCTCCCCTTCATTCACCTCTATGGCTTTGCTACAAATCGTTGAGTGATTGTCGCTAACGATTTCAATCCTGCTGGATCTTAATTGCTGAGCGACAGATTGCTTTAAAGATTGTTAGCAGTTCCATAGAGAATCATCATTCATGTCTCAACAAGAATCATTAAGCTATGGGGGTTGAGGGGGTGTTGCTTCGAAAAAAAACAACCCTTACCCAGACAATGCTGTATAAAAGGTCTTGTAACAATGTTAACTAGTGAGGCACCAAATACATTGGGTGGAATTTGTCAAAACGTTTTGACCAATCAGCTGCTTTCTTCAGTTAGATATTGAAAATGAAAGGGAGAAGCTGATTGGTTGCCATGGACAACTGCTCCAGATTCTGCTGCACTGGGTGTAATAAATCCCCCTCACAGTTATTAGATATATTTATAGTATTATCATAGATTGGATATTTCTGCGGTTGACTTGAATACGGTATTGTTTACAGACAGATGTGAAAGGAAGAGTGATTTGCATGTTTAAACCACAAATACACATGTGAGCTGTGCTAAGGAGTGTTCAGCGTGCTGGAAAATGTTATTCATCATGCATTACGTTTGCAGGGAACTGTACTTGGTAGTGTGTTGAAGGCCACGTTTACAAGCTATCGGATAGACCGTAAATACAAAGTTCCAAATGTTAAATTGCTTTTTGACACAAACTCATCTCTCCCTTGGGGCAATATGGGCAATGGTGCTATTCAAATTCCCTTGTAGCTCAGAGTTCGGGACGTCTATCCAATAGCACATAGATGCAGAATCCATGTTCACATATAACTGAGACGTAGCTGGAATAGGAGAATTGGTTCTAGGCAGTTGTTTGGGAAGCACGATACTAAATCTTGAGGGGAGTTTGCTAAGCTTGGAGCAACTGTGCATAACAACCAATCAGCTACTAGCTTTCATCTTCAAAGCTTAACTCAACAAGCTGAAGATAGACGCTGATTGGTTATTAGGCGTAGCTACTCCCGTTTTAGACTTGTTAGAAGGTGGAGAACTATAAGTTGGAAGTTGGCATTGCTGGAGATGAGCAGCACTGCTTACCAGGTGGCATGTTAGTGACACTAAACTCAGGAGGTTAACTTTAAGTACCTTAACTATTAACATCTTATTTGTGTATCACTGGGCTGTAGATCCTCAAATCATCTCTGAATTCATACTGACACTGTCCTTCTGGAGTGTGGCTACTTTTGGTCCCTGTGTGTAAAGTAGCCACCGCTACGATTGTAGTCCATCATGGGCGTTGAGAGCGGCGGCTACTTTATAACACACACAGAGACCATTGGGAACAAAAATAGCCACCCTCCAGAATGGACAGGGTCAGTATGGAATCGGAGATGATTTGAGGATCTACAGCCCAGTGATACACACACAAGTTACATTTTTATTAATGCATTTTTAAGATTTAACTCGAGTGTAGTGTCACTTTACTGTTAAAATTTGTATGTATTAAATTGTGCAGAACACACAGACCTTGTTACCAATATACTATCTCGTGCATTTTCCTGGACAGTAGAGTAGAGCTCGTAGTGAAATTGTTTGGAGATAACAGCCCTCAATCCCCTTCACGAGGTGTAGTTCTAAAAGTGGAACACTTTTTTCCTGGTGACTAGTCAGGTTAGTACGGTCCCTTTAAAAATGCTGCAAGTACTTGTTGATCTTACTAGAAGTCCAGTGTTTGCCCAACATCTGTTTGATCTTATGATGCAGCACATCCACTGCACTAATATTCACAGTGGAGTTCCATGCTGGACTACACAACACTTCCCCCATATGTTAGAGTGGCATTGTGTTCCCTAGTGCAGCATGGGACACCTTGGCAATGCTGATAACACTTCTTGGGATTTCCAAGGCATTATCAACTCAAACAGGAAATTAAAAACATGCTAGATGTCTGATAGTTTCACAGGTATTTGTGTACTTGCAACATTGAGTGTGAAGCATGGGGGTATGTGAATTGTGTGCCTCAGCAGTAAATCAGACCTCACTCAATATGGTTGAATAATTAAAGTGAATATTCACTCAATTTAAATGAAGATTCCCAACCTTTACAGGGTTACTTCTAAAAGAATGAAGAGTTTGGAGAAGTGAACCATCTAGGCCCAAATAGCTGATTTGGAAAAGTTCTCCAATTCAGCTCACTTTCCAGCTTAGCTATGTTGTCCTAGACTGTTCACTTCTCCAAACTCTTCACCCTTTTGTGAATAGCTGTTAAACAGGAGTGTCTTCCCAAACCTCCCACTCCCCCACTCAGATATTCAAGGCCCAGTTTGTTTAAATACCCCCCCCCCCCCCGCACAGTGTTAACAGCACTGAGGGGAGAGAATGATGGTCTGCTTGTGTGGGAGAGCAGGGCTATGGCTGTGCAGAGTGTTGCTAGTGCAGGGTACTTGATGATTGTGGTCTATGCAGCCTGACTCCTTTACAGTAGTAAACACCTAGGTGTAAGTTGGGCTCTAAAATCCAACTGAAAGTCACAGAAGTATTCAGTAAGATGTGCATTGTACTAATGGCCTCCAGTTTCATAGTTGGACCATGATGGTGAGTGTACACCAACTGACCTGGTAAGACACTCTTTCACTGCAGTGCAAGTGTTTTAAGGTACACCAGTCAGGAGTATGGATGGTACTCATTCATGCCAGCGTAGAGCATTTGAGTGGCAGGGCAGCCTGTTTCTGCAAGGGGGAGGAGTTTATTATAAGTTATATCCGAGTGAAAATCAGAGGTCCTGAACTGTGGAACCGGCACCCAATAAGGCATCATCGGGCCCATTCAGACTAGATGTGTTGACTGTTGTTTTTCAGCAACTGAACAATTCCAGACACCGCTAGAACACCACAATGCAGGCCTGATCTGTGGTGCATTGTGGGGGAGAGTGCAGACATGCTGCATTTTTTTACATTTTTGTTGCTGCACACAACGCTGCTGTGCAGGAACCTGACTGGACTGCACAGTATCTGCCAGTGGGTTGGTACACTGCCGGAGTTGTCAAAGCACACTAGCCCGCCTGCTAAACTCCGTTAACAAGCTCTCAGTCACAAATATACTGTAGACAGCTGATCTTTTCCGTGTTACTGGCTTATGCCTTGCTCCACACTGTGCCTCTGTGGAGGCAGCCATCTTTGTAGAGGAGTGGGTCTTTGATTCCTCATTTCAGAGACCCCCACACCCAGCTGATGATGGAAATCTTCATCAGCCGCAAGAGCTTTCTGTTGGGAGGGAGAACGGTGATCAACATAGTAGTGACATCACCAAATCTCCTGAGACAAGCAGTCAGAGGCTGCAGTGTTAGATCTCACACAACATAAATACAACTGAGACTATTGGTACAGAAAGCGCAGGGCTGTTTTTCAGGAAGAATTCAGACAAATTGTAAATTTCTTCAGGGTACTGATGAAGCTATCCATACACTGCTTGAATTTTGGCAAATTTTCCACCAGGCCCAAGCAAGAGAATTTCTAAACGTCTATGACCTGTTAAGGATGCAAATATCTATCTTAAAAATCAGCACGTGGTGTTACAGGACAATGTGGAGAAAGATTTATGCTATTGCACCCACCCACTGCTTGCTGTGCCCTCCTTCCAGTGTGGAGGAGAGAGCTAGGAGATCCAACCAACTAATCAATAATGAGAATAGTTGACAACTATTCTCATTGATTTATTCTTGATTAGTTGGTTGCAGCCCTAGTGTGTAGACTAACAATTTATGGTTAAGTTTATTCCAAAAAAGAGAAATAACATTACAGACCTGACATGTGAAGGGCATAATATAAATGACCGGAAAGCACATATCTTACAAACGATAGTATATATACTGTATATGAACTTTGTAAATCTGGTAATCAGGAGCACTAGGCTAACAATTAAGATGAGAAATTCTGGCCTTAAATATGTGTGCAGAATTTGAGAGAGATTTAAAATAAGAAACATGCCAGGTTGATCTTTGCTAAAATGGATGCAGAACAGGATAGAGAAGTTGTTCTCCTCATAGACTTTTGTAGTCGGTTTATATGGTTATATACATTATTTATTTATTTTTTGCTTTAACATTTTTCTTTTCTTCTAGGAAGGTGTAAAGACTGAAAATGATCACATCAATCTCAAGGTGGCAGGGCAGGATGGATCTGTCGTCCAGTTTAAAATAAAGCGACACACTCCTCTCAGCAAGTTAATGAAAGCATACTGTGACAGACAGGTATGTAATGGTGACTAGTGGTGTACACATTGTCTCCTCAATGAAAAACTGTAAGTGCATTTGTGTTGCAGTTTGGTATCTGCAGCAGCTGGGATACTATTCAGGTTGAATATGTTGTCTCAATTGCCACTATGGAGATAAGAGCACTAGCCTGTAGCAACAGTGAGACCTTGAAGAAAAAAAACCCTGTTAGGGGACCTATGTAGGCTGACATTGCTGGCATCTCCTCAAAGTGCTAGTTGTCACTAGTGACAAGTGAGTTGCTGATCTGGAACAATTAAAAGGATGATGACATTTTATGTTTCATTTGCTTAGTCTGATTCAGGAGTAACCAGCAATGCCACCCCTGTATTTCTCTCTTGCGTGTTCTCTTGAAGGGCTTATTTCTAAAGCAGGACTCCAGGTAAAATCTTCAGTGTGAGATCTCACTAGTTAAACCTGGGCAAAATGGCTGGCAAGTTACTGCCTGTTTAGTTCTCTTCCCACCAGTCTGCTGACTGGATAATGAAGGATCAACAGCACGCAGTCATTCCTGTGTCATCTTTAAGCCACCCCAAATAATAAAATCAACATACTTAACCAAAAGTACCAGAAAACTTTCCTTGCTGATAGAAAATAATGTAGGGACACATGCTGGGCCAATCAGGGCTGTCACACTTGGGGAGCCCAAGCACTTGTGTAAAGCACAATTTTTTTATTTTAGAATCTGAGTTAAAATTTAGTATTAAGAGGCAAATTATATTCTATTAAAAATGTTGTGAAACAAAATAACTGAACTTGAGACCATGCAGAGAGGCTCCGGAACAGGTTCATGAAATGTTGGTACTGTGTATCGCCAATTATTTTAAACAGTGGTCTAAATCTGTGTGAATTGAGAGATCTGAAATGTCCCAATATAGTGTCATGTCCTCTAACAAAGTGTTTGTCAGCTTTGGGGAGTCTTGTCTCGTTCCCAGCAAAATAGCACGGGGAGGTGGGGGGGGGCATTCATCAAGCAATTTAGTGACACAATTGGATGCCAATCAGTTTGCATCTTTCTTTGTGACCGTTTGAGTGTGTGCAATCCTAGGCAGCAAACAGACACATTTGTCCTGTTTAGGACCAACTAATGAGGCCTGCTCATTGAAAAAGTGGTCGGCAGATTTGATTAGGTTTCTGTGCTACTTCAGAGCAGCAGAGGGAGTTGTTTTTATTAATTTAATCTTAAAGGAGAACTATAGGGTCAGTGTTTTTCCCCATAGTTCTAAGGTTAATGGGAGGACACAAACTAGCGTCCTCCCGTTACCCTAAGCTCAGTATACTGCGAGTTGAGACGCCGGAGCGGATTCCGACTTAGACGACGGGATCCGCCCAGCTGCATGAGTGACAGCTGGCTCTGCCTATCTAGAGGCAGAGCCAGCTGTACCCTCCCCCGTCCGTTCCGCCAGTCAGCGCTGGCAGATCGGAGAGGGGAATCCAGCCCCTCCCCCTGTCACGGCAGAGAGCCGTGACGGGATCGAGAGGTGAGTGAACCCGGTATGTGTTCGCTCACCTCCCGATCTACTGAGCCGACCTGTGACAGTCTCATTGTCACAGGTCGGCTAGAACTATGAGGTGAGTGAAAAGTGAAACGTTGTTGAGCAGTGTATTGTTGTGCTTTAAGCTGCCCATACACCCTACAACTATCGCACGACTTTCGTTGTGCGATGGTTGTAAGGTCATTCAAATCTCGTACGATCTGCCCATCTTGAACAGGCAGATCGTACTTGCGATCATTTCAAGCCCTCCCTGCTGAGGGGAGGGCTTGCGATGATTGCAGTGCTGAATGGGCAGTGTGCGCTTGCGGCATTCGTCTTCCGACCACGCCACCAACCCACCAAAAATCGTACAATTTTCGGCAGGTTTTCCAGCGTGTTCGGAAGACAAGTCGTACGACCTTACAGTAGAAGCGGTTGCACACTGCCCATACACCTGCCGATTATCGTACGATCGCGGGATCACCCACAACTATCGTACGATAATCGCCAGGTGTATGGACACCTTTAGTGTATGTGTATATTAGGCCCCATTCACACCTACAGTATATTTCAGGTCTGATTAGAGATTCCTGTGTCAGGAACTTGCGTTTTCCTGCAGCAGGAATCCCTAATCTGCCGTTTACAAGCTGCAACTATCATAAGATAAGAATTATCATAAGATTATTTAAGAGCATGTGTTTAGGGGCGGAGTTAGGGCCGGGTAAGGGTTAGGTGGGGCAACTGGTGGCTAGTGACTCTTAGGCCTTGTTCACACCAAATGCAGACCAGATCGGGTCAGGTTTCTGCACACGCAGTGCAGTGGGTTGTGCCACGTTTTAGATGCGTTTTTGATGCGTTTAGGGCCGGTTTTGTTAAAAAAATTTAAGTTTAACATGGGCTTTCAGGCACTTGCATGCGTTTTTGCACTTTTGATGCGTTCCAGAGCAGGTAAAATAGGGCTTGCCACAGTTTTTTCATCTGGTCTGGATCCGCACGCTGCAATGTGAACTGGAGGTCAAAATACCATAGGAATACATTGGACGCAGTTTTGATCCGGTCTGCACCCGCTCTGGTCTGGATCTGCTCCGTGCTTGGTGTGAACAAGGCCTATAGGCCTGGCTAGTAGCTCAGGACTTTACATTTTGAGCCCTGTACTAGAGTATGGGAGTAGTAGATCTGATCATCAGCCTGGAGTAATATCTCACAGCAACTTCAATAACATTAGGAAATGATTTCTGAACTGAGAAAGCTGGTTGGATGACGTTTTGTCTTCAAGACAAATACAGCAGGTCCAGTTGCCTTGACTTATTTTTTACAGATATACCATGACCTGGATGAATGAGAACCTTCCGACATTAAGAAACGAGATGGGTTTTAAAATCCTTCTGCAACTTCCTAAAAGCAGCAATGGTTTTGTCATGTCTTAACAAGTTTGTGTAAGGAGTCAGAATGGTCACAGCAGAAGTCTTCATGGTTGGGATGGAGATTTTAAGTTGAAGCATTTCAGGGTTGTGGAAATGGCTTGACGTAGTAGAAGCGGTCTTTCTGTGTTGGCACGTCTTGGATTGAAGAAGCCTAGTTCATTTTTACCTGTTACCTGCCAAACACTGTGTGGCCCTGCTGTCTGTACATGATTACTGTACAGGTATAAGCTTCAATTCCTTAACCCCTTCATGACTGAGGCCTTTTCATTTTTTTGTACCCATGTTATATTCCACATTTTAGGCCTGAAAATGACTTAAAACCCCCCAACATTATATATTTTCTGAATGCCAAGACCCTATAGAATAAAATGGTGGTAGTTGCAAATTTTTATGTTGCGCAATATTAGCGCAACTCCTTATTAAACCCCAATATTTAGTGAAAAATTTAATTAAATGCCCCAAAACACAACAAAATACCCATTTTTTTAAATTAAATATAAAAGATGAGGTTACAACGAGTAAAACGATACCCAACATGCATAGGTTACAAATTGCGTGCGTCCGTGAAACGGCGAAAAACTGCAGTACCCCAAAAAGTCAATAGAAGACGCTTTAAAAGCCCCCACAGGTCATCAATTTAGAGATACCCCAAAATACTGGCCCTAGAATTATTGCTCTCACTCCGGCGTGCGCGGCGATACCCAACATGTGTAGCGCGTTCGTCGTATTCATACGTAGGCGCACCCGACACATGTTTACGTGTCGACTTGCGGGGGACTTTTAAATTTTTTTTTTATTATTATTAGATTTCTTTTATTTCAATTTAATTTAAAAAAACTTTTAAACTTTTTTTTTTTTTACTTTACTTTGACTGCTATCACATGGGGGGGCTTACAAGCCCCCCCATGTGATAGCAGATGGTGGTGACAGGTACTCTTTAAGGTGATGCTGGGGGTCCAAAAGACCCCCAGTGTCACCTTTACACTGGAAATAAGCTATTGAAGTGCAGATCGCACTTCAATAGCTTATAGCTGGGCTGCAGGAGCCCAGCACTGACAGCCCAGGGACCGGAAGTGATGCAATCTACATCGCTCCCGGTCCCATAGAACGGGGAGGGGATCGATGAACGGAAGTTCGTCGACCAGCTCCCCGCGGACACAAAGATCGCCGGGCCCGTAGGAGGGGCAACGGAGCCCGGGAAGCACGGCGGGGGGGGCTGCCCCTTCTTCGGGACGCAGAATCGATCTGGCGACAGGTAAGTCACCAGGATCGCTTCTGTTGTAAAGCCGACAGTCGGCTCTACAAGTTTAAACAGACTCCCGGCGGCAAAAGTCACCGGGAGTCTGTTTAAACAGCCCCGATGCTGGCGACGTACACTGTACGTCGTCAGTCACGAAGGGGTTAATGTGACACTAAGCTCAGGAGTTAAATCCTAAACATACATTAAAGTACCCCAACTATTGCACAAATAGGATACATTGTTATCCCTCGGCTGTAACTCTTCAAATCTCCTCTGAATTCATGCTGACACTGTCCTTCCTTCTGGAGGGTGGCTACTTATGTTCCCCATGGTGCCTGTGTGTGTTGTAAAGTAGTCACTCCAAGCTCCCTCCTGTAATGGACTACAATCTCAGGTTTAGTTTACTGATTTGTATTAAGATTGCAACTTATCACAGATGTGGGCTTGGAGCTTTGGCTACTTTACAACACACACAAGGACCATGTGGACCAAAAGTAGTCACCCTCCAGAAGGACAGTGTCAGCACCAATTCACAGATTTGAGTGATACACAAAGCCTCATTTTTAATAGTTAAGGTACTTGAATTTATTTTTAAGATTTAACTCCTGAGTTTAGTGTCACTTTCACTTGTGCTACTGCACTGTACTCTATGGTTGAAGAAACCATGTCTTGCAGGCAAAAAGTATAACCTGAGATTAGGATTCCTTTTGTTTTGACAGCTAGTTATTACCACAAAGAATTGATATTGTTACTGACTGGATTGTAAACATATTTTGTATTTTTAGGGTTTGTCAATGAGACAAATACGGTTCAGGTTTGATGGTCAGCCTATAAATGAAACGGACACCCCTGCACAGGTGAGGTTAAACATGTCTACCATTGTCTCTGACTTGTGTGTTTGATACAGAGATCTGATGTTTGTTTGTATTGTATCCTGCAGCTGGAGATGGAGGATGAAGATACTATTGATGTATTTCAACAACAGACAGGTGGCGTGTGCTAAGCTCCTTCACCAGAAAGGATGAAGCCCAACGAGCCTTCTTGCACCAAACTTCCCACTTCTTTCCTTCAAAACAATGAACATGCTGATCACACAACATTTCTGAAAACGTTAGCGGACTATCCAGAAAATGTTTTGATTTATCTGTTTTTTCTTTTTTGCCCTACTTGCAAGCGTTGGAAGTTTTGTTGTTAAGAGGGCCAATATCAAGAATCAATATTTCCTGCATAAAAAGTGGTTATGTATTTTATTATGTTTTGTGTGGCACTGTTCATTTTTACAGCAGTTTTGTTTTCTTTCTTCCATTTGTAAATATTTTGGACTTTTTTTTTTTTCCTATCTACAGTAAAATTGATCTCTTCTATGCCAGAGCACTCTAATCCTGTAAGCTTTGGTTAGCTTTGTCAGATACCTTTTGTAGTTTGGGAGACATTAAAGGATTGTAGGAGGATGGTTGTGCTTTATTGCCAATATTGCTGTAAACATTTTGGTTGCTTGAGGGTCCTTTTTTCTTGGGCTGTGTGAAAGACGCTGCAGGTTTAAACCTTGAGTACTTCTCTAATATTAGGTGGGCACACACAGCCTGCTTTCGTGCGTTAGCAATTGGTTGAATCCAGATTGCTGCCATTTCCTTGAAAGGATGTTAATATATTGCTCCTTTCCACTCTTGCTAACGTAAAATGCTCTGATAAGGGAAGCTGTTCACATGAATATTTAGGATTTAATTGCTAAATTGTCAAAGTGCAAGTTGTAGGTCTCATCTTATTAATGACGCCCCAAATTGGCACATGTATGTAGACAAGGACAAAACTCCAGACAACCATAATCAGTGATTCATTAAGTAAAGAAACAGTAATGAGGATGGTCAGGCAGCAGCTTGCACATTCAAAGGCAAGTTGGCATTGGCAGCTCCTTCTATCGTCACAGCAAGCTAGTCCTGTGTCCAAGCCAAAGTATTCAGGCCTTTGTTTTGGATGTTTTGCTGTAAAACAGAGTGCTAGTAAAATGAATTAGTTCCATATTCCACATGTGATGTAAACTACTAGGATGGGGTTCCTTCTATAGGACCCCTTTAGGGATGGGATGTTCCCGTGGTAATATGGATTTTAAACTAGTCAACAGTTTTATTCCAACTTTACTCTTGAAGAAAACCCCACTTTTAAAATCTTATTCTGGTGTCCTTGATTCCAAGTTAGACTTGAATGCTCAAATCTACTGGCTGAAATGCCGTTTAATAAACAATAATTTCCTATTGGCATTTAAATGTTCACTTTTTTTTTTCTTGTACTTCAGTTACTCTGGTATTTCATTACCAAAAATAAAACGCTATTTGAGTAATTAAAACGTCCTTCACCATTAGGAATCTTGTTTGTATTGCTCATTAGTCTCTAGAGTGTGGCCTCTGGTTTCTTTTAATCCTTGTATTGTATTTCAGTTACAAAAATAAAGAAACATCAAAATATTGGTGATTGCTTAATGCTTGTGTATAGAATATGACACGTTGAAGTGGTCCTTTCATTATGTTGTATGGTAATCTCTGCCGTGTTCTTGGTATAGTTAACAGCAGGCGATGGCTGTTCATGTACAAGCGATCTGGCGTCTGTACAGCCGTCAGATCGTTTGTCCCCCCACGTCACTGTTGGCTTTCCTGGGCACCGTTGTTCGGCGCCCGGGAGCGGCTTGACGGGGTCTCCCCGCAATGATCATAGCGAGATTCGGTGGCTTCCAGCCGCTGATCTCTCCTCCAATCACTGGACCCGGAAGTGATGTGTATTATGTCACTCGTTACAGTCTCCGGCTCTTAGAGCCAGTAGGAGAAGCTGGGGAAGCAGATCTCTGCTTCCTCGGGATCCCTAGGTGACATTAGGGGTCTGAAAGACCCCTAATGTCTCCATAAAGAGGACCCGTCACACCCTATCTGCTATTACATAGGTTGCTTGTTAGCTCCCTATGTGATAGAAATAGGGTTAGTGTAAAAAAAAAAGGGTTTAAAGATTATAAAAATGAAAGTAACATTAGAAAAAGCCAAAAAAACATTTTTATAAAGTCCTCTGCCACCCATGCGCATACACGTGAAAGCGACAATTGCGCTACACGTTTCATATCGCCGCAAATATTGGAGTAAGAGCAATCATTCTAGAGCCATCACCTACATCGGATGTTACAGAACATGATCATAACATCTTTCTGTTGAGATTATTGAAGTTTGTTTTAACTCGATGTGTTTATTTTACGGCCACCGCTACCTCCAGATGCAGGGGATGAGATGTGCCCCATCGTACACCAACTTGTGGGGGGGCATCTGATCGAGGAATGATTTGTCTGTGTACCAATGCCGCATATTGTTGTGGCATAGGTACATAGATTATATTTTTGTGAACGGGGACCAGAAAGTTGTAGATTTATTTTTTGGGTGCCTTGAATTGCAATCACCTCCAATTTGAAACTCACTATGGGGATGGAGAATTTGAGCTTTCATTCCTGGATGTTAAAGTTTATAAGGCCGGTAGTGGGAAGGTATATACAAAACTTTTTAGGCAGAGCACTGCTGGCATCACCATTGGAGGCCAGCAGTGCTCATCCAGTGTGAAAAATAGTATACGTTACGGACAGTATTTAAGAATTAAACTTAATTGCTCTTTAGATAGCGACTTCGAGGCCCAGGATTTGAGGATGAGACTGAGAAAGGATACAAAGAGTGTTAAAGCAGGCCTAACAAAAAGAAAAATGTGGAAGAGATGAGTGCGAAGAAAGGAAATGATCAAATAGTGAGACTGATATTGACATACAACAATCAACACAGGGAAGTGTCTAGAATGCTGGCCAGGGATTCTAGATTATCGAGATTTGTACAAGATAAACCCTCAATTACTTTTAGGAGGTGTTCATTGAAAGATAAATTGGTGAAGAGTAAATACAACACTAATAAAAAATTACACTGATGTAGTTTCAGGTACATCCCAGAGTTGTAAATGTAGATACCTTAAGGTAGGGACACAGTGTGACCCCTAGAGGTCATTGTTTCTGTAGTCGATACTTCGCAGATTGGGATACTGAAGGAGTGGTATACTCCTATGTCAGTGCGATATGTTTTATATTGGGAAGACACAAATGTAAAATGTTATAGATTTATGGTCATGTAGCAGATATTGCTGCCTGAAAGCTGAGGCCAAGTGGCCAGGCATGTGATGTAGAATCATGGTGGCAAAGTAGGGACACTTTGCGTCTTTGTCCTAGACCAGATGAGATTTAGATCAATCATTATTACAGAGAGAATGTAGGTGGATACACCTGGCTAAATCATATGAAGCATCAATGAAATGATGACTGACTTGCTTTCTGTAATCTGGTTCCCTTCAGCTTTTGTCAGCTGTCTGGTAATTGATTCCCAATTAGATTCCTCACTTTTTTATATTTAAGAATTGGGTTGATATGAGTATTTTTTTAATAACTCTGATATCCCAGTAATGATTTATCCTTTAGACATACATATTGTTAGGATTATAAAATGAAAAGGGCAAAAACTGTGATTCTTAGGGGTTCTTTTGAAAAAGATTAAGTGTAAAATTGTTATTGATTTTTGATTAGAGATGCACGGATATCGGTTAGTGATTACCGATATTTTCTTCTTTTTTTGGGTACTCGCTGATACAGGGGCCATGTGCTCAGATCATCAGACCACCGCCCAGCTTCCTTATTGCCTGCAAAGCCGGTGTTCTAGCGAAAGAACACCGGCTTCACTTGCCGAGGCTGTCTAGCAACAGGTGAAGCTAGGCGGCACATCATAACCCACCTCCCAGCTTCACGATTGGCTAGGAAGCTGACATCACTTGTTGCTAGGCAGCCTGGCTCCCTTACCAATCAAAGCCAGGATAATTCATGACGTGCCTTCCAGTTTCCTGATTGGCTAGGAAGCCAGCTTTGCTTGTTGGTATACAGCCTGGCTTTCTAACCAATCAAAGTTGGAAGGCAGGTTATAAAACTCACCACCCAGCTCCATGCTCTCTCTGACCGGAAGTTCCGATATTGGAGGTAAGTATCGGCACATTTGGGCAAGTACGAGTACTTACCCAAATACTCGTTATTGGCAATGGTGCACCCTAATTGTAATTTTTGATAGTTGACTATTTGAAGTGTTTGGGTACATGAATATGGAGTTGGAGCCCAACTAGGTTCCTACTCCTCCCACTAAGAGAGTGGAACAGAAGACACTCCGATTCGGCATACAAGTTCGTTTAGGGCTGAAGTCCACACCCCTCTGAAGAAGCCCAGTGTCTAGGGAGGAAACACGTGGTTCTGGTGTCCCCTGCTATGGGAGTACCTTCATCCCAGCTGCGATGCTTTAAACATACACTATATTGCCAAAAGTATTGGTACACACGTCCAAATCATTGGATTCAGGTGTTCCAATCACCTCCATGGCCACAGGTGTATAACAGCAAGCACCTTGGCATGCAGACGCTTCTACAAACATTTGTGAAAGGAATGGGTCACTCAGCTCAGTGAATTCAAGCGGGGTACCGTGATAGGTTGCCACCTGTGCCAATAAGTCCATCCGTGACATTTCCCTGCTACTAAATATTCCACGGTCAACTGTTAGTGGTATTATAACAAAGTGGATGCAACTGGGAACAACAGCAACTCAGCCACAAAGTGGTAGGCCACGTAAAATGGCAGCGGTGTCTGCAGAGTCAATGGCTACAGACCTCCAAACTTTGTGTGGCCTTCAGATTGGCACAACAACAGTGCTGGAGAGCTTCATGGAATGGGTTTCCATGGCCAAGCAGCTGCATCCAAGCTTTACATCACCATGAGCAATGCAAAGCATCGGATGCCGTGGTGTAAAGCATGCCGCCACTGGACTCTAGAGAAGTGGAGACGTGTTTTCTGGAGTGACAAAATCACGCTTCTCTGTCTGGCAATCCGATGGACGTGTCTGGGTTTGGCTGTTGCCAGGAGAACGGTACTTGCCTGACTGCATTATGCCAAGTGTAAAGTTTGGTGGCGAGGGAATTATAACCTAACCATTGAACCTTCACATTCTCACATAATTCATTCCCACAGCTACCTCATGTATCATTTCCCCCTCTTTTAGATGGCAGGGCCCTCCTTACCGTCTTGTATTGTAACTGTAATGTCTTCCATATATTGTAAAGCGCTGCACAAACTATTGGCGCTATATAAATACTATGTAATAATAATTATGGTGTGGGGTTGTTTTTCAGGGGTTGGGCTTGGCCCCTTAGATCCAGTGAAGGGAACTCTTAAGGCATCAGTATACCAAGAGATTTTGGACAATTTCATGCTCCCAACTTTGTGGGAACAGTTTGGGGATGGCCGCTTCCTGTTCCAACGTGGCTGCGCACCAGTGCACAAAGCAAAGTCCATAAAGACATGGATGAGTGAGTTTGGGGTGGAGGAACTTGACTGGCCGGCACAGGGTCCTGACCTCAACCCGATAGAACACCTTTGGGATGAATTAGAGTGGAGACTACGAGCCCGGCCTTCTCGTCCAACATCAGTACCTGACCTCACAAATGCGCTTCTGGAAGAATGGTCAAACATTCCCATAGACACCCTCCTAAACCTTGTGGATGCCTTCCCAGAAGAGTTGAAGCCGTTATAGCTGCAAAGGGCGGGCCAACTCAATATTGAACCCTACGGCCTAAGACTGGGATGATGCCATTAAAGTTCATGTGCGTGTAAAGGCCGGCGTTCCAATACTTTTGGCAATATAGTGTATGTGAGACTCACATGTGGAAGCTACAGACATTATTTTACAAACATTAGGATTTATTATATGAAGCATTGAATGAACTTTCCTCACATTACACTGAATGCAGAATGAATTGCTTGGCTTGGATTTATATTTGATCCAATAAGTTATGACATTCACTACGTATTGTATAATTTTTAGGTTTGTAAATTTACAGCATCTTAAAGTAACAGCACTTTTATATTTAAGGGTTGTAGGGCTGACATGACATGCTAATGGCGACTCTTCTAGCTGAAAGGCAAATACTTCTGGCCATTACAGCACTGTTGCTATTAAAAAGCAAGCAGCTGAGTATATAATAAAAACATGGATTTCATTAAAAACCAAAAAGGCAGCATAGTGCTAAGGATGCCCAGTTTTTGTTTTCAGATTGTACAAAAGCATAATTACGTTAAACACTATTCTAACCCCTCCCCCCTCCAAAAAAAAGGGGTAACAGGTGTTGAGACTTGCTAAATACTTATGCACAGTACAAGCCAAAGACTTGTCTATGCCTGCATTATAGGATGTACTTGGATCATGCATCGTGCAGGGATTTGTTCTGGTGAGTGCTGCGACTAAACAAACAGTTCTGCATAAATTGTCAGTGCTATATATAAAAACAGATGAGGAGAAAAAACAAAAAGGCTTAAATTTTCTTTTTATTGAATTAAAAAGAAAAACCAAAAAGTACAACATAACAGAAGAAGTGTTTAACAAAAATACAAGTAAGCTATTTGTGTACAATAAGCAGCCCTCGTCTGTATTCGATCAAGCTAATTTAATGGCACGTCTAGTTATTTGGTAAGAAAAAGGCACTAGAAATACAGTATATAAAATCATCGCACTATAGGGACATGTAAAAAATCGATTTGACTTATTTAGTAGAAAGTTTGCAAATTGTAATTTCCAAATGAAAAATACTATTGTAAAGAAAACTGGGACAGCACTAAATACGAAACTTTTCAATAAGGCACTGGAATGTCAGAGCTGTGCACGCCCTCATGAAACTCAACCTCAAGGCTTCTATAAAGGGACGTGAAATCAAAAAGGTAAACTACAGTCTTCCACTAACATATAAAAAGCATCTCTACTTAAAGCAAAACTCCAGAGAAACAAGTTACATTTAAAGTTTAAAATACATATATGTGGAAATGGTTTATCATACCAAAGAATCCCCAATTGTCTTTTTGAAAATCACACACCCACCCCTCTACAAACTATACATGACCAGGTAAGAGAACTCAGTCTGGGTATACGAGGTTAGAATTTTATCCCCTCCCCCCCAAAAAAAAAGGAGTAGATTTTCAGAATGTTTGCTTGTCATCTTATAGTTAATGGGGTCAAATCAATGATCCTTTTGGAAAATAGGGCAGGATATAAAATTCTCACAAATACTTGAAATGTAACAGTGAATGGGGTCTTCGTTCGCGAAGCTGCATTCATTCCAAAATTGAATGTTAAATCAAATGAAATTTCCAAAGGACATTCGTCAAAGTCTCTGATGGCATTTTCAAATATTCGTAGATTTTTGTACATATGTTCGTATAAAATTCTAACCGTGTATAACTGGATTAAGGTGGCAAAAGGAAGTTGTAAATGTAAACCAAGTCTGACTAATACTAAGAATTCTCTGGATGTACCCCAAATTCTCCATAACTCCCTGGACCAACCCACTAAGGCCAATATGAGGATCCTTGCCATTGCCTTGCCATCTTCAGGTCTCTCTTCTGTACCTTCCCCTATGTTGCCAGTACCAGGGAATCCAGGTTACACCCCCCCCCC